ATGTCTTTCTAATACACCATTTCTCAGATCTCTAATCTATTCAGTTTCATGCTATTAGGAAGTTTTTAGATCTTTATATTCCGCTGTATGTAGGGTGTGAATAATGATAATTGATGTGCAAAAAATCAGGATCATATTTAGAATAATCATATTACATATAATAACAATTATATGTAAACTTTATTCTTGTAATTTGTAGTCTATATGATAGTATGATAGTATGAATAGGAGATCATATTTTATTAAGATAGGATAGTTTGCGAGTTTTGTTTTTATTTAAAGATTTGGTAAAAGATTAAATAATATAATCAGAATATTTACAATAATTGGTACGCTTAATTTTGTTAAGGTTTTTTATTACTTTTTACAAATAACGTATAGTATGTTTGCATATTTACTAGAGTAATTACATGAAAGAAAATACTTAGACACAAAACATTGATGAATATCCCTATACTTTAATCACTCTAGTAAAATCTATGGTATTTATTATTATAAATGCTATTAACGTCTTCATTTCTCTTTTCCTTTTCTTTATTACTATTTTTTGTGAATTGGTCTTTTAGAATAAAAGTAATAATAATTTTTATTTCGCACAGTTTATGGAATTTTATAACCTGTTATTAAACAGGATTGAGTTTAGCTCAGAATTTTTATTGTATAATTTATTAAAATCTTTCTATAAGTGTATTATATTTGATGAGTATTTTCGCTTAATGAGCGGCTGGTATTTCAATTCAATTATCTTTGATTTTATCACTTGAACAAGTTATTGAGTTATATCAAGTAATTGATCATAAGTTTTATAGAAGAGGAAAGTACTAATAATAAGCATAGTTAATAGTAGTAACTCATAGAAGATTTCAATAGTGAAAGCAAGTATAATATTACTAATAAGCGAATAAATATTGATAATTTAGTTGAATAAATATTTTTTTTAAAATAAAATATAAATATATTAGATAGTATTTTTCCTCTACTTGAATTATAATTTTTGTAATAATTATAAATATTTAAAATAAATATTATAAATATTATTATATGAAAATTTAAATTTAATTATTTAATTTATCAATTTATTCAAATAAATTAATAAATTTATTAACATTATTCAAATAATATTTGAATATTTTATTCAATTATTATTCGAATACACTTTTTAAATTAAAATGAATATTTAAATATATTTAAATATATTTAATTCTAAACACTATCCTGCAAGAAATATAGTTAGTTTTACACTTAGTGATCTTAAAATTACAAGTCTCTCAGCCTTTTATAATATATACTTTTATTATTATTTACTTATATATTTGTAACTAGACATTCATTTATATTTTTCTCATATTTGTATAAGAAAAATAGTAGAATTACTAATTAGTATATATATTTTCTTTTCAATAATCTACTTATTTTTATCACACAATCTGTGATTTAGCAAATTCTTCTAAGCTAATGATTATTGTCTTGAGTTAATGATCAGTATTTTAGAATTAAAATTTTCGTATTAAATATATCTTATCTTTATCAAGACATAATGTCAAATAATATTAATAATAAAATTAATCAAAGTAAAATACTTGCTTAATTATATAAAATATTAATATATAAAAAGAAAAATATAATAGCTATTTAGCAAAAACTCAGTATTAATAGTAATACAAATCAAATGATAGTTTATCAAAGTAATAAAGTGAAATACTTGCTGATTTATATGAGTTATTATTAGAATTAATAGAGAATTTAATACTGATACAGGAAAATTTTAATATTGATGATAATTTCATTTTAGTAGTAGAATATTAAAATAATAAAATTTTCACAAGTATTTTTTTGAAAAGATATTTAATTTATTATTATATTTAAAAAAAAATATAGTAACAATTCAGTAAGAATTTTGCATTATCAGTTATACTAATTAAGAAATAACAGAAGAAACCAATAAAAATACAAAAGTATATCTTTAAAAGTTTTGAGAAATTTTATGATTCCTTAGAAAATAATTTAGATATAGTATTAGAGAAGTTTGAAAAAATAGGAATAAAGAAAATTTGGTTTACTGAGAAGGGTTTTTCTTATTTTTAAAGTTTTCTTTTCAATAATTGCATGAAATTTCCATAAAAAATTCTGTTAATACTAATCAGTACTTATATTTAGAATAAGTTAGCTAATTTACATTTTTTATCATATAGGATGCATATTATGTCTCAGTAATTGATTAACCAATTGATTACATAGTTTAATTATATCACAATCGGCAAACAAAAAGAGTAGGATAAAGGGATTTATCTATCATTAAGAAATATAAATCTATTCTAATAGTTCTGATAAATAAAAAATGCTTGAATGTGCTATAAATAATATATATTATATGTTATATCTTCAAATAAAAAAAATGTAAAATATAATATCCCTTATACTTTTGATATTACAGAAGATTAATTAACTGTTTAGTGTTTTTTTTTTTTTGAAATTTTGATATAAAATATTGGAAAGTTTCATTCTGAGATCTTTGATTGAAGGATTTTAACCTTTTTTGATTATGTCTTTCTTTATTGCTTATAAAAAATAACCTTTCATTCTTTTACAAAGGGTCACTAAAAGTCTCTGAATACTACTTTTTAAGTGTGATTCTATACTAGTAACATTATTTAATTTAATAATATTATGGTCATATAACATTTCAGAGTTTGTTTATATAAATCAAACTTAATAAATGCGTGTTTTGTTTGTTTATTTTGATTTTAACTCAAAATAAATTTCTTTTTCTGAAATCAATAAAATGAGTAAAGAATTAACAAAAGAATAATATAGTGCTAAATTTTATTGCCATTAATGTAGTGACAGTTATAGAACTATTGCTACAACTATTAGATGTGAGGTGTTAACAGTGTTTGACACTTTAAAAAGAATGAATAAAACTAGAACTATTAATTCAAAGTCCCATTCAGATTGTCTGCTTCTTATTAAATTTTCACAATAAAATTAGCTTAAGTGACTTGTAACGAATGGTAAAGGAAAGAATTATCGCTTATGTACTGCTGAAGTTCAACAACTTTAGAAAAAGAAAATAAATCAGGATATTTTAGCTAACATAATTGTCTAAACACTTCATAAAGCTAGGCTAAAAAATTGTTTTGCTTAACGCAAGCCTTTAATCTTACTAGTAAATATAGAAGTATGTCTTGCATAGACTTTAGAATACTAAAGTTAGATAAAATACGATTGGGCAAAAGTCATATAGAGTGACAAATTAACCTTTTTTCAATCCTAATAAAGCAAGTGTAGTAGAGTATAGCGAGAGCTACAAGATGAGTAGAATCTTTCTTATATTACTGCTACTATGAAATATAACCTTAGACGAATATTTTGGGAATGCTTTTTAAGACAAGGCTTAGGATCTATTATCTCATTATTTAAAATAGCAACTGGTGCTAAACACATCACCATCCTTTACAAACATGTTACGCTAACTATGAGATGTGTATTTTCAAATAGTAATAACTTGTTTCAGAAAGATAATATTCATCCTCACAAATCAAAAGTTGCGAAGAAATTTCACATAAAAAATGATCTGTGCATACTTTTTTGGCCTACTCAAAGTCCAGATCTCAATCCAATTAAGAACCTGTAGGCTGATATCAAGAAAAGCATTTGTGAAAGGAAAAAACTGCCTTTTAATCTTGCTGAACTTGAATGATATGTTAAAAAAAGCATGACGAGATTTTTCTATATATACTATCAAAAATTTGATCAATAGTATATCACAGTGAATTTAGGTGATGATTGAAGCAAAAGGAGGCCTGACTAAACTACAGTCATTCCCCTTTATAGTCATATCCCTCAGAACTAAAAATAAAATGTGTAATTATAATAAAAAGTTACTATACAGAGGGATTTTTATATATTATTACTAAGTGTTAGTTCTGAAAGGGTATGACTATAAAAATACTGTGATTATAAAGGATTTTTATATAGCATTAATAGGTATTAGTTTTTACGAAATTGTGCTTATAATGAAAGATTTATATAATGTGATTGTATAGGGGTGATTATAGAGGAAGACGACTGTAGTTACTTAGTATAAAATGTAGATTGAACTTTATTTAAATAAAAATATTATTGATTTTTTTTCGTTTTAATTTTAAATTTTGAGTTTTACATTAATTCAAAAAGTGTTCAAAGATTTTTGGTAACCTTCTGTATTACAAATATTTCAACTGAATTAACTTCTTCAAAAATCTCAGATGAATAAGAGGAATTCTTACCTTTTTTACTAATATTTCATATATTAAATCAATTACAATATTCTTTTTTACATATTTGTTTAGATCTTATAATTCGATTTTTAAGGATCTCACATCTTTTTTTAACTTTTTTACTCTCCTTTCTAAAATGTTATGTTGGAAATAATAATCTAAATATATAATATTAGTAAAAATTAAAGAATAATATTTAAAATCTTATTATTATTTATATTTGACTTATTAAAAATACTGAATTTTTTTTTTGTAAAATAAAAAAAGATAAATTTTCTATAAATAATAGCATTTAATTAAAATAAAACTTTATATATTAATATTATAATCAATAGTAATAAAGGAAACATTATGTTAAAGTTTTATGATTATAGTTATTTAATTAAATCTAAAAGAATATTTGTCTTATAATAATAAATTGCATTTATAAAATAAAAAATATAAATATATAAAAAATTAAGAAGAATTTGAAATAAATAAAATATAATAGTAGAGTGATTCAATTATAAGAATTTAAAAAATAATTTTTAGATAATTTTTTTAATAAATTATCAATTATTAAAAAGTTTATTAAAATTTTAATTAAAATAAAAAATTTTGGTTTTCGATAATAAAATAAAACTAACCAAAAAAAACAAAAAAAAAAAATTTTTTATAAGCATATATCTTTAAACCGAGGGTGTGATTTTACAGGAGATATCTATATAAGGGGTCAACTGTACTTGGTTATTATTTGGCAATTTAAATTCTTTTAACTAATTGAAAAACTTCAAATTCCTCAGCCGAAAATAAATCAGGATTATTTCTAACGGCATTTTCATACCTATAATGAACACATTGACAACAATCAGCATTAAAACTTCCCCAGGCTCTCAAGTCATTCCCGCCCCACTGGGGTCCACAATTCGCATAACTATAAATAGCGGTGTCAACTTGATGTTTTCTGATCCTACTTAAATTAAACCCATTTTTTACATCAAAACTTTTACCTCCGTTCATAATTTCAAATCTAAATATAAAGCTTTCACTTGTAGATTTATACCCACCCCCATTCCAATTCAAAGGATTATATCCGCCCAATATTTCTTGTGTACCTTTGACCTTAATTACCGTTATTGTTTTATCATAATTATCACATTTTTTATGAAATTCTGCTGCTGTAAACCCATCACGGGTTGAACGGAGCAACAATCTAAAATGATAAGGAATTGATGCCAATCTATAGGGGTGAGGTGTCCTATCAACCCAGCTTGCAATAAATGCTGCATGTTTCAAATTAATTATGAATGAATCTATAGGAGAAGGACGAGAAGGTTGTAACAAATGACCATAATTGATTAAATGTGTATCAGCGGATGAAGAAGATACTTGATTATTATTATTATTATTATTATTATTATTGTTGTTGTTGTTGTTGTTGTTTCCGAGTCTTTGAATTATTTCTCTCGTATTGATATTTAATATTAAAACGTCTTGTTTTTTTTGATTCTCTTCCTCTTTTTTATTTAAAAGACTCTCGAATATAACGTTTCTTGGGCTAATAAATTTCCATAAAATTTCTTCATATAAATCTTCGGGAAATATATTTTTTAAAGGTCTAATCTTGACGAAAAAATCTTCAGGGGAAATATCACTAAATCTTACAAATTGAATACAATTCTTTAATCTATCCCTTAAAGTTTCAAATTCTTCGTCACACCACTTTTCAACTATCTGGCTAATCATATTCCCTTCACCATATTCTCCTAAACGAGGTTCTTGATTTATTCCCCATGTTAAGAGCATATCCCACACATCAATCTCTTTCATCACTAAATCATCTCGTTGTAAAATTCCTGAAAAGATCGCCTCAGAATATGAGAGAAAATTTGTTGACGTTAAAATTATTGAAGGATTTGGACAAATATGATCCAAACAGAATTCTTGTAACCTTTTCCATGGTTCATGTTGAAACGCGATTGTTACAATATCTAAAAAATTTTCGTTTAAATAAGTATAATGATGTAAAAGAAATTGATTTTCCACGTATGAAATCATTTCTAGAAGGATCAACTCATCTGCCGCACATAATAAATCGATAATGAACGAAGGGGACTGCTTCTCAAGTGATACTATTGTCCCCGTATACAAGTATCTATAGAAACGCGAAAAAAAAAGGGGAGGAAATAAGTAACGGGAAGATGCCAAAATTGATAAAATCTTTTTTTTAAAACATAAATATAAATATAATAAAAATACTTGCCTAAGAACGACTTCAAAAACTTCAGGATCAAAGTTTGGTTTATCGAAAATGATGTTATCACCTTCTTTCTTTGCCCATTCATTCGCTAATCCAGCATTAAAATAAGGACATTGAGCTTTTAATATTATAGAATGTGCTCTGAAACTTTTAATATTATCATCTTTTCCTACCCTAATTATAATGTTTGATTCATCCGCTGAATTAAAATATTTTAAAAAATTTTGTGAAAAATTTGGGAATAATTCTATCGTCATTTTTTTTTTTTTTTTTTGAATTGAATTGCAAAGCATTTTTACTATTATTTTATACAGCTCCGATCACCGATATGGTGAAAATTTATCCGATGATTGTGATGACCTTATTAGTAAATTTATTTATCATAGTTTATCGGAGTAAGTTTGTTGTATGACTTTGGTAATTTTTAAAACTGACCCGCGAAGTTCTCGGGATTTAAGATCATCAAAACACTCGCAACTTTTAATTCTTTTTGTAATATAAATATAAATTTCCTACAGCATAAGATTCCCGATTCTTACCCAATTATGATTTTTCGAATCCATACATGAATCTAAGAGCAAAGCCCTACCAACCCTCCTAACGAACATTCCTTTAAGCCTTACTGAACTATGGAAAGCAAGCAAGCTTCTTATCAACCTTTTTTTAGATTGAGCCGGAAAAAAATTTAAGTCAAAATTTTATTTTCAAATAAATATTAAACTAATTTTTTTTTTTTTGACGAAATCATGGTTTATTTTTATTTTCATGATACATCCCTAAAAGGTTACGGTGGATACTTAAAAAGCTAGTTACAATATTTAAGGTTAAGAGATTTGAAGTAACCATCCTTCCCTTTTCAGTTTTTTAATGCATTGAATTCAAAAACTGAAAGGTGAGATACCTGTTATAAAAGAAAGATCTAAATTAATACTACACTGAATCGAATCGATTAAAATCGATCGGGGGTTAATGATTTATAAAGAAAAGATTTTTATTTTAAGTTGAAAATAAATGAATATACATGTGCAAATTCATGATAAGAAAAAGATGACTATTTTATGTAGAATATGCAAAAACAATTCACAATTAATAATAGTGCTAATCTAAATATGGCCAGATTATTGTATCGAGTGAAAAGCAAGTGTCACTTGTGATACAAAAACTGTTGTAAAGTTAAGGGTCAACTTTTACGACTAACGATCGGGATTATGACTTTTCTTAGGCACTTGACGAATGTTTGTAGAACAACAATAACAAAAAATGTCATTACACGTACCAGATCTTCTGGAAAAATCCAACAGCATCCTAACCTTTTGTTTAAAAGGAATGTTTTAAAAAGGAATTTAGCTTCAGAGGTTGAAAAAAGGAAGCATGATCCATACTCTGTTTCTGTCACTAGTCCTATCACCAGCATTTCTCCCGATGATATTGGTCCTCAGCTTGAAAGTTAATATGATATAATCTTATTTATTTGTTTATTTATTTATTTTTTTGATTCATATATACTTTTGGGAACTAAATAAAAATTAAAATCACTTAGAATCAATTCTTGGAGAAACAACGGATGATCTAATCGGTAATTAAAAATAATCGAATTTTAAAACTCCTTTTTATGATCAATAAAAACTAGGGAACGGGGACCGTGGTTAAGTCCGGAACGATCTTAACTAGGACACTTTGCGTAGACATATATAGTCCTTCACTTCGTTCCGGACTAATAAAAGAATTTTTTAAATGTTTTTTTAATCTTTTACATAGAATCTGGCGATCCACAAGAATTAAAAACACAAGGGTATACAATTAATTTTGGACCGCAACATCCGGCAGCTCATGGTGTTCTCCGCATGATCCTTACATTAAAAGGAGAGCAGATCCTTAGAGCAGATCCTCATGTTGGATTATTACATCGTGGGACGGAGAAATTAATTGAATATAAGACATATTTACAAGCTTTACCTTATTTCGATCGATTGGATTATGTATCGATGATGACAAACGAACAAGCTTATTCATTGGCTGTTGAAAAATTATTAAATATTGAAATTCCAGAAAGGGCTAAATACATTCGTACTTTATTCGGAGAAATTACTAGAATCCTGAATCATATTATGGCTTTAATGAGTCATGCTTTAGGTATTTAGATAATCTTTTTCGAAATGGACAAGGAGAGACAAGTTACTAAACAAACATCTTTTTTTAAAAATATGTTGTTTTGAAAATTAGATATCGGTGCATTGACTCCTTTCTTGTGGATGTTCGAGGAGCGAGAAAAGGTATCATAAGATTATTTCCTTGGATTAAAAAAATTTATTTCTTATTATTTTAACTCACATTACTTTCTCCATCTCATTCAGTTGATGGAATTTTATGAACGTGTGTCAGGAGCTAGATTACATGCAGCTTATGTTCGTCCGGGTGGAGTTGCGCTAGATATGCCACTTGGATTGATGGAAGACATTTATCAATGGGCCACACAATATGGTACAAGGGTAGATGAAGTAGAAGAATTATTAACAGAAAATCGTATTTGGAAAGAGCGTACTGTTGGAATTGGTGTAGTCACGGCTCAACAAGCTTTAGATTATAGTTTTTCTGGAGTTATGTTACGTGGTTCTGGAATAAAATGGGATTTGCGCAAAGTACAACCTTATGATGCTTATGATAAAGTAGAATTTGATATACCTGTTGGTTCTCATGGAGATTGTTATGATAGATATTTATGTAGGGTTGAAGAAATGAGACAAAGTTTAAGAATTATCCACCAATGTTTAAACCAAATGCCTCATGGTCCTATTAAAGTCGATGACTGGAAAATATCCCCTCCTAACAGGTCCAGCATGAAAGAATCTATGGAAGCCTTAATCCATCATTTCAAATTATATTCGGAAGGATATTCCGTACCTCCGGGAGAAACTTATACGGTGATTGAAGCGCCAAAAGGCGAATTCGGAGGTACGTAATTAATCCGTTAAAAACTCGAATTGTCTCTTGTTACTTATTAACTTTGATTTATATCAACTTTTATCTTCGTTTTTCGTCCATCAGTTCATTTGGTTTCTGATGGTATGTTTTTATAATGAATAATTTTTAACTATATTCGTATGAAGTTATTATAACACGAATTTATTATAGGCACCAACCGACCATACAGATGTAAGATTCGCGCTCCAGGCTTTGCTCATTTGGCTGGAACAGATTTTATGATTCAAGGTCATCTTGTTCCTGATGTAGTTGCAGGTATTTATTTTATTAAGAATATCTGTTTTAAGAATAGTTGAGAAGAATTGAAGGATGATTAATTTGTGGTAGTACTGTATAATTTGAATTATGATCTTTCATTTTATTAAATTTTTTCTGAATTTTTAGTGATCGGTACACTTGATGTTGTGTTTGGAGAGGTTAGGATTTGATTTTTTCTAAATATATAAAACTCTTGAATTGATATAATTCTAACGATCCTTTTTATATTTTAGATTGATCGCTAATTATCGATATTGTACCATAAGAATATATATTAATCAAAAAAAAAAGGTGATTTTTACATATCAAATCACCAATACAACAAAATTATACGTAACTTAATTATATAGTTAATTCTATAGTAAATGAACAAAACTGCTCGATTTTTAACACGTAATAAATTGTACCTTTATGTGTATAATATAATTTTTTTTTCGAGGAATCTGATTATTTAATATGGTATAAAATATTATAATTTGTAATCTAAAAATAAAGTATGTGTGTCTTTTATCATTAATGTTTCATCAAAAATTTAAGCCAATATTACAATTATTTTTTTGACTTGTCAATTTATGTTTAACACTAACATTCTCGTTACTAATAAGGATGAGATCTTTTAATGGAAAAAAAACTTAATTTCCCTGAATTATTTCAATCAATCTAAAAGAATAAGGCAAATAATTCAGAAGTTTCTTAATTTCTATAATCTTCAATCTTATACCATATTTTACTCATGAAAATGGTCAAATATCACAGATTGCAGAAAGCAATAATTAAAATTCCAAGGATTATAAATGTCAATAATTGCAAAAATGAGATAGATATGTCTTAAAGATTCATTTATTGTAACAAGTCTAGTTAAAAATTTTTTCATTGCTTTTATTTATTATATATATATATTTTTTGCTAGCCAAATTTTATTATAAAGTTTAACTGTTTGTTTACAGTCAAATGGTTGAGTGCCAACCAACCCAAACCATAATTAAAAGAAAGAATCAGGTGAATAATAAGACATATTTTCATAAAAATAAGTAAGAAAATTTGATAATAATTCATAATCAAATCCTAAATGAAAAACATATAAAAAAAGTATTTTTATAATTTATAATTGATTTCTTTTGTAAAATTAATTATAATTTAAATAAAAAATTATTCTATTTATAAAATTATTTTGCTATATCTAATTATTTTTAATAAATTAATCAAATATATAAAGAAAAGATAAAATAAATAAATATAATATTTAAATAAAATAAAATATTAATTATTAAATTATAATAAGAATAATAAATATCTGAAGAATCTAAAATATTAGATAAATTCATATATTTAAATCAGCTTAATTTTTTTTAATTCAATATAATATTATAATCTAATATTTTTATATGATATTATTCATAGTTCAAATAAATTAATTAATAGCATTTTTTAAATAAAAATGTTTTTTAAATTATAAAATATTTTGTAGATATTCTAAGTAACTTTACTTTCTTTTTATGTGATACTAATAGATACTCAAATTGGTTAGGGTATTAAAAAAATACTTTGCATAAAAATAGTTAATTTTAATGCTTTACAACTGCTACTTATATGCTAGACTTAGAATTTAATATTACCATGGATTTGAAGTTTATGATTTGCCTAGTATTTTAATCGTGAAATTTCTATTTGTCACCATTACATATCACGCGAGCACTGTAAGAAATAATATATCATTTTTGCTTTTTATTTAATAAATTTTCTTTATTTTTCTTTTTATAAAATATATACATTGTCCTGATAAGGAATAATAAATAAATTTAATACTATTTAATATATATACAAATTTTTTATGAAAAATTTACAATCCAAACTAATGAAAAAAAAAAATTTTTTTCTGTTTCAAAAAATCCCCTCGTTTAATTATTAATAATTCGTTTTCTTATAACTTGAAAAACTTCATAATCATTAACAGCAAAGGTACCATTTTTACCGGTCCAACCTTCCCAAGAATCTCTATGAAACATATCACCAACCGACTGTTCATAAGATTCTTTATTACAATAACAACTTCCAGCTTGATTAAATTGATCCTTCATCCACAAGTCACCATCTCCAAAACATGGTCCATTCAATTGAAAATCACTTATAGCATAAGAAGCACAATTATTTGACACGCGACTAATTTTGGCCGTTAAATTTTTCTTGTAATAAATGTTAAATTGAAAAAGAAAGGAATCACGCGTACTTCTCCAAGAATTTGTGGACCCCCAAGAAAGTGGATTATAACCTCCGATTACATGTTTTGAATCGTTCACTTTAAGACAAACGATAGTTGGACCTTGATTATCACATAAATCGTGAAATGTTGTCGCAGCAAATCCATCCCGACTACCTCTACATAGTAATTTAAATTCATATGGTAATTCACAACTTTTTGGAAGTGAAGTCGAATCTACCCCAACACCATCAATCCAAGAACATAACATTGAGGCATGATTTTGATCAATTATGGTTGATTTAACTCCAACATATCTTTGAGTTTGTAAATATTCGGATTTAAGTTGTAATCCGGTTTTTAAATGAAATCTCTTTAAATCTTCGTACAATTCTTTTGGAAGGATTTTCTTAAAAGGACGAACTTTGTTATAAAATTCCGCGGAATTCATTATAAAAAATCTTATATAAGGAATTAAATTATTGAGAGTTTCCTTAAGTAAAGCAAAATCTTCATCTTTCCATTTTGATATATCAATTGTGAGTTCTGGATTTTGAGCTATACCCCATTCTAATATATGATCCCAAATGACAACTTCTTCCATATCCATATCACTTCTTCCTAATAATGTGATTAACGTTTCTTCTTCAAGATTTGTAAAATCCTTTGCCTTGAAAATTAACTGCGGTTCTTCACAGATGATTATCAAACAAAATTCTTGTAATCCTTTGGAACTTTCTAATTGAAATACCGTTTTATGTACAAGAGCGAAATTTTGTTGTAACCAATCGGATTTGTGTAAAAGCAAATAATCTTGAATTGTTTCATGTAGTTCATTAAGCAGTAGTTCATCGGATGCTACCAACAATTTTAATAAATCCTTTCCTTTGTGTTGCTCCATTTTTATGATCCCTGTATACATAAACCTATCATTTAAAGTAGAATGTAAGAAATGTGAGAATCGGAAAAAATTTTTTTTTTTTTGCTTTTATTAAATAAGAAGATTATATGTATAATTGATCACATACTTGAGAATCGATTCAAAAATATAAGGAGAAATATTTGGTTTATTAAAAATCATCATTTTTCCTTCTTTTTTGACCCAATTATTAGACAAGGCAGTTTTGAAATAAGGAGACCTTGCCTTTAATACAAGTGAGTGAGCTTGAAAAGTTTTTTCATTACATTCGTCCGAACCAACTTTAATTAAAACATTATATTCATCTGAATCATCCAGAATATTGGAAAAATCCAGTGATAACGACGTTAAAAAAATCGACATTCTTTGATAATATTGGCGGGATAAGTTTAATTTTATTTTTTTTATTTTACCGTAATTTTTTTTTTTTTAATTAAAAAAGACACTTTATATACTTTTAAAAATAATTTTAAACATGATTGTTCTAAATAAAGATTAGGGGTTTTTTGTAAACATATGATTATTATAGACTACAATCACATAGTTTCAGAACAAATTAATCATTGTTCTTTAATTGGCAAAGCGACGCAGTAAATACGCACCTTAAAAAAAATTCATTGTATCAATTAAAGGATCGACACTGAGCAAGCTTTCATTTTTTCTTTTCTTGAGGAAGTGCATAGATGTAAAAAACCAATGTAAATGAATTATTAACGTGTTATTTTTTAATTAGAATCAATAAGCTAATAATCACTGAGTTGCTTAAGACAATTTTGATCAAAAAAAAAAAAAAATAAGTAGCAAATTAGAAATGACCATTGATTTCAAATTTTAAGATTTCGCTAGGGTTGGATCGACCCGATCCAAAAAGACCGGCCACTCCGTCACCGTTGTCGTTGAAACAGGATATATAATTTTGCTTGTTATGATTTTCACTTGAATAATGAAATGTTCTCCGGTTTGATAATAATGGCATATAATCTAAAACCGCTGTTCAAACCATATAAAGTGATTAAAGTTCCAGACAGTCTTGCTAAATTTTGACCGAGTAATTTTTGCAGTGCAATTGAAACCAAATCATTAACGTCATTCTTTTCAAGAACCCCACCATGGTTGTTCCGAGCATGAAAAGGTTTGCACGATCAGTTATTTCTCACTTACAACATCAAAGCGGAAGGAGTTCTGATAATGTGTCTGTAAATATTGCAAAAATTTCGTTTAGTAACCACGCTTAAAAGAGAGACTGCATGCCTCATCAAATACGAAAATAGGTTTGAGATAGATACCTGGCTGAAAAGTCAAGTTAGTGTTATCATAAACTTTCTTTCAGAATTGTGCAAATAGTTGTTTAGCTTTAGACTCACGGTCTAGCCAGCTGGTAATTGTACCTTTCCAAATTTTAATTGCATCGCAAAAACATCTTTGAAGTACAATAACTAGTTAGTTCAAATTCATTCAAACTTGCCTAGAAAAAAAATCTAAAAACTGGTCAAATATCACGACTCTGGAGTAGGATTAAACCACTTTGCGTTGTTGTGTGTAACCGTTCCTCCTTTCCAAAGACAAGTAAATATCATAAAGGGAGTACGGGTAGTTTTTTCAACATTGGTAAACTTTACCATAAAAAGTTCTTTCTAATGGATGGATAAACGGAGAGCGGGTGATAACCTTGCATACTTATAATAAACATGCGTGGGTTGCTCGCTTACCTTTTAGTCTTTCAAATTCACTTTCAAATTCACTCTTAAATTTTATTTTAATATATTCAAATGTAAATTTAAGTTTTAAGAATAACCATATTAAAAAAAAATTTTCAGCCCGTTGATGATTTTCATTAAATTGTTATTTAGAAGTTTCGCTAAAAGAATTTAATCCCTCTGAGCTAGCAAACTAATTCTCATTTTTCATTATGAAGGTAAAAACTTAGGTTTTATTGTTGTTAAGTTAATGTTCATATAAGCATTTCATGAAAACTGGATCATGGAAACAAAAATTGCACAGATAAATTAATTAGAATGAGTGACCAGTACGTGTTTTTTTTTTATCATTTCGTTATTTATTTTTCTCAAATCTAATTAATATACAATTTTTAAGGTAAATACGTATACTGCGCCACTAAATACAAACGCCTTTTTTAATTCAATTATCAATTAATAAGAATCGATTACGCATTAATCAGTACCACGGATTCTCCTTAAATAATTTGTATAAATTGTAATAAATTTTGATAAATATAAAGCACCATGACTATAAGACCGTTACGTTCCATAATTCAATTGTTACACTAATTTTCTTTTATAGTTATCAAATGAAAACAAACTTTTCTGGAAACAATTATTGTTTCAAAAAATCTTCTTGTTGTTTATCTTCGGCTAACAACAAATGATGTTCGGGCGGGGCGGCTAATAACAATATGTATAAATTCCTTTTTTATTTTTTTTTAATATATATACGGCCGAACACGAGCACATATGCTTCGGGCGAATTTTTCACGTGATTTACCAAAACATCCCAGGTTTGGATGTGAAAGGAAAAAACACTTAATAAATAAAACGAATTGAAAAGATAATTTCTCAAAGTAAAGAAAATTCGAAATCAAGAAATTCCTCCTCACTTTCCTATCATTCATTTTTTTTTTTTATTAAAAAGAAAACACCCAAAAAATAAAATGAAATCGTTTTTAACAATTCCTTTAACCTTTCTTTTAACCTCCCTTATCGGAATTCCATCTTCGGTAGATGCATGGGGCGCAGAAGGACATAAAGCAGTCGGACAAATTGCACAAAATATTCTTCAACCCGATGTAGAAAGTCAGGTAGCAAAGCTATTTCAAGATAAATCATTTGGTGGTAAATTAGCTCCTGCTTCTTTATGGGCCGATACGATAAAAAAACAAAAGGGGAGTCCTTTTGCTTTTTGGAGTGCTCCTTTACATTTTATTGATACTCGAGATAATCCTGGTAAAAGTTGCTCCGTTGATGAAGAAAGGGATTGTCCTGATGGCGTTTGTGTTGTTGGTGGTAAGTGTACATTGTGTACATTTTTTTTTTTTTTTTATAAAAGAAGCATTGTTTCGGCTTGCCTTTAGAAGATGGCTAATTTAATGGTTTTTTTTTCATAGCTATCGCCAATTATACCACACAATTGGACTGCGAAAATGGATTCGATAGAGATACAAGAGATATCGCCCTTCGTTTCTTGACACATTTTTTTGGGGACATCACTCAACGTAACTATCCTATATAACAAATTTATGACCGCGAATATATTTGATTGAATTTTTAATTCATTCCCTTTTTCTTTTGTTTTAATTAGCTTTACATGTCTGTGGTCGCTCTAAAGGTGGAAATGATGTTCCCGTAACCTTTGATGGACGTAAAACAAAGTAGGCACACGTGATTATCGATCTTCCCTCGAAAAAAAAAACTTTTTACTAATTTTTTTTTTTTCCTTTTCATCTTTAAGTTTACATGCCATCTGGGATACACAAATAGTACGAAAACGCCTTCAAGATTTCGACAATAGTCTAGACAAATACATAGCGTTCCTTACGAGTGAAATTCAAAATGGTACATATGTTTCCGAAAAAGATGAATGGGTAGCATGTGACACTCCGTCACGTCGTCGTCGTCGTGATACTTCGACAATTTTAAAGCGTGCTAAAGCTACTACACGATGTCCTTTAAGTTGGGCTACTGATACTAATGAAATCAATTGTCCTTTTGTTTGGGAATCTATTGATGAAAATCCTAATTTAGATTTAGGACAAGGTTATTATAAAGCTGCTATACCTTTTGTTGATAAACAACTCGCTAAAGGTGGTTATAGATTAGGCACCTTTTTGAATTCCATTTTAACTAAAAAATGTTAAAAACAGAAAATTCTTAATTTGGGTAATTTGGGCGGATTCTGATTTCTTTTTTTATTTTCATTCTAAATGAGAAAAATTCTCGAAATTATAATTTATTTTAGATAATTTGATAATTTTATAATTATATATATATATAATTAATGTTCTTTAATGTAATCGTAACATTAAAACAAAATAAAATAAATCTTTTTAACATATAAAATCTACCCTGTAAAGTTAACTAACATAACGGACTAACATAACGAACAGATATTTTACACTTTATTATATAATTATTTAAAAAAATCTCGAATTTTTTTTACCACTCAGCTTCAAAAACAGCAGCCATACCCATGCCACTACCAATACACATAGATGTGAGACCTAATTTCTTTTTTGTTCTTCTTAATTCAGTCAATATAGTTGATATTTGTCTAGCACCTGTGGCTCCAAGTGGATGTCCTAATGCAATAGCTCCTCCCTACATCGTACAAAAATATTAAATAAACAAATATATTATTATTTTACCACCCCATGTAATTCGTTATTTGGTTTTATTCAAAGATTTAGAACGTTTGAAAACATACCTTTGGGTTAACCTTGTTAATATCAATACCTAATTTTTCAACACAATAAACAGCTTGAGAAGCAAAAGCTTCATTGATTTCAAAAATATCAATATCGTCAACGGTAAGTCCAGTTTGTTTAAGAACAATTGGAATAGCAAGTGCCGGTCCAATCCCCATAATTCTTGGTGGAACACCGACAACGGCAGCACGAACAAATTTACCGAGAATAGGTAAACCTAATCTTTCGGCGGTTTTTCTTTTCATCAATAAAACAGCTCCGGCACCATCTGAAACTTGGGAAGAACTACCAGCGGTGGTAGTACCATCAGCCGCGAAAGCAGGCTTTAATTTGGCCAAACCCTCCGGTGTAGTTCCCCTACGTATACCATCATCTTCTGATACAACTATTTCCTTTTCATCGCCAGACTTTGGATCTGTCCATTTCGCTTTAACAGGAATAATTTCTTCTTTAAACAGGCCAGTATCTTGAGCGGCGGCGGCTTTTTTATGAGATAACGCAGCAAATGCATCTTGCTTAGCGCGAGTAATACCAAAATCTTTTGCAACATTTTCGGAAGTAATTCCCATCGGTAACAAACAATCAGCCGCGGCTTGATTTGAAAAAACTTGTTCAGAGGTATTTTCAGGCATAACTCCAGCACCATAACCAAAAGTCATACTTTCTACACCGGCACCTATTTTATTAAAAGAAACATAATTAAGGATATAAAAACGAGATTTTAATGTTACAAATATAATAATTAATTAAATTATACCTATGCCAATTTCGATTTGATCAAGTGCTATTTCATGAGCAATTTGTACAATTGCTTGTAAACCCGAGGAGCATTGCCTGTTAACAGTATTTAAAGCAGCGGTATCAGGAATGCCAGCATATAAAGCGGCCGCACGTGCAACAGTAGCACCACCTCCGGGAGGAAGAACGTTACCAACAGCAATGTCTTGAATAAGATTAGGGTCAATTTTTGATTTGTCAAGGATAGCCTTGAAAACAGCAGCAAGCAACTCTTCAGGTACTGTATCCTTGAAGCCACCCTTCTTAGCTTTAGTCATGGGTGTACGAACAGCTGTGACAATGACTACATCGTCTGGGGTTTTCATTCCAACTCTAGCAACAGCTACGTTGTTTCCTGCAAGATGACTAGCAATCTGTTGAACTCGTTGTGCCATTATATTAACTTTAAATTGTAAATTGTTTAAAATGTAAAAATTTTTCGATTATAAATTAAAAAAAAAGTTTGACCCTTATAAATAATTTTTTGCGAATATTTGAGATTATCAATTTTTTAGTCCCTGTTCGGTTAGAGAAAACCAAATTTGCTAATGTCACAACTTGTTGGACAAATTTCATTTGTTTGATACAAATCTTATCTGATAAATTGTGATATAATATGAGGTAATCTTATATGCAAGGTGATCAAAAGATGTAGATATTTGATTTATAACGGAAGTTTTATCTTAATTTAAGTTTTTAATTATTCATATTACTATTTATTATTAATAATTATTTATATTCACTTGATTATTATTTAATGTTAATTCCTTTCATATGCTTTTCCTATTGAATTGCACGGCTCCCAATAAAAAATCCGAGACTTGAAAAATTCAAAACATTATACTTATCCATACTATATGGGTATGGATAAAATCCAAAACTTTAACAAACAATATCATCATAATTAATGATTATAATTTAATGATCATTAGCTTCACCTTGATGAGAATTATTATTTTATTTTTGTGAGATATTGATTAAGATATACTTAAAAATATATGTTTTCAGGATTTATTATTTTATAATATTTGGGAGGCAAAATTTTGTTTTTGAATTTTTTTTTAATTACATATTAATTGATCTAATCTTTCAGAAAAAAAATTTTTTTTTATATATAATATATTAAAAAAATATAATATTTTATAAATTTAATTCTTGTATTTTTCTTTTATTCTATTTAATAAATGATATAAATCTGCTAAAGAAAAACTAATGCTTTTAATAAATTCCTTGCAAAATTTTACCCTAGTTTGCAAAAAACTGATTTTAAAAATCTTTAAAAATAACAAAATAATTATAATTTACTAAATTAACCAATAATATTAAATTGCGATTTTTTTAAAATCACGTGATTGGTTGAGCTCCCTTTTGCTAGGAGGTCCCCATATACTTAGATTTGATAAAGCATACTTTTAACTAAATTTTGAATATATTCAAGTAAAATTGAACATTTTACCTTATGTTTCAAATCTTTCAAGTTTTTAGATTGATTAAACAAGTTACACACTTTATTTCAAAAATTTTCAATTGGTTTAAATTAGAACTTTGTGCAGGTCAGAGTAGCATAAAATCTTTGTGGTGTTATGACATCAATAACAATTTTTACTCAATAAAGTGAAGCATTATTCTTCTAAAAAATTTTCTTGTTTGCAAAAACCTAATTTGCAAAATAAAAGAATAGTATATTTCTGTAACACTTTTGTATATCTTTATCCTGTTATAGATTCACAAAAGAAATAAGAGATCTCAGCCTATATCATGAAAAGCATTTTCAAAACATTAAACTATAATTTATTATAATAGTTAAATATGAAGGTTTAAATTCATCTTCTGGTGTATATTATACATGTAAACTATGATCTTGTAAAAATTGACTAAATGTTGATTTATCAAACTATATAATTTTTTTTCACTTTATAATTATCAATCTTTTCGTTTTAAAATCTAAACCAATTTTTTTTTTATTATTTTCAGAAATTAATAGTTTAAAGTAAGCAATACATAAACGTAAGCTAATATTTTTAAGAGTTTGATTAATTATAATAGATAAAACTTTCTTTTTTTTAGTCAATAATTCTTGAATTTTTTGAGTGATAAAGTGATAATACTTTAAATTTTATATAATAAGCTTTTTGAGTAAAGCTTATGTATTTGAATCAAAAAGTGACTTTGAACTACAATATTTTTTGGTATTGCAGATCTAGTTTCTTTAAAATATTTTATCACATCATAGATAGTTATTTTATTATATTAAACATTATCAGCAATTATTTATTACCTCATTTGTGACCATAAATAATTACTCTATATTATTTAGAGTATATGGAAAACTGATATGATATATTTACCAGACCAGTATGGTATGATTATGCTGATCAGTATTTTTTCATAAAATTTGAATTGTATCATACTGTACTAGTAATATATATAGAGCTTTTATTATAAGAAAAATATAGTACAATATGAATTTTAAAAATTTATTTTAGTTCATAGTGTATCATTATTAGAATTTTTAAAATTTATATTTCTGATATAAAGTAATTTTTTAATTTAACAATATGTTTGTTAAAATGAATTTAGTAAAATTAAATTAAAAAGAAAAGCTATATAAAAATTAAAATTAATTTAATTACAAAAACAATAATTAAATTTTTATATGATACATTTATCCTTCAAAAAAAAATGATTATAATATTATTTTTTTTTGAAATAAAAAGAATTGGTTAAAAATTTTAATTTTAAAACATTACAAATTTTATAATAATTTACTGTATTATCAAGAGTAGATAGAAAACTGATACATTATAATTTATTAGACTAGTTCAGTATGATATTATACAATGATGAGTTTTAGACATGTCTAATTAATTGATTAAATTAGACAGTTTTAGATAGTTTTAGATAAGTCTAAAACTGTTTAAAATTTAATGGGTTTTGGACATGTCTAAAACTAATTCATGACTGTCTAATTGAATTTTGAACTAGTCTAAAACTGATTTTAGACAGTTCAAAACTTAAAATTAGAAAAAAAAAGATTATCAATAACTATTTAGAATAATATAATATAACTTTCTTTACTTTCTTTTTATTTATATTTCTCTAATGAATTAAAATGAATTCAGATTAACTTTAAAAAAAAATGAATTTCATCAACTTGATATAAAATTTTAGAACACCAGAATCTGATATGTAATGAGCAAAATTGTATACATATATTTCAAAAATCTCTTCTTTAATAAATGTAAGTAATAGTACTATTTTGTTTTATACTTTAAAATATATATACATATAACCTTTTGATTTTTCTCCTATATAATAATTCTCAAATGTGATATATTAATCATATTTTAGATGAAGTTAATTATGAATTAAATAATTAATTAAAGAAGATATTAAATTAAAGAAGAGAGATAGAAAAAAGAACAAGTAAGTAAATTGATTATCATATAAAAATTACCGGATATAATAATTAAAATAATAATATTATTATAGAAGATCTACAAGAGTATTTCTCAATAAATATGTTATAAATCAAATAACTAATTCTTAAAAACCTAAAGAAGGAAAAGTAGTAATTTTTTGAGCTAAAAATTGTAAAAAATTTATGTTAATTAGATTTTGATATACTTTCAAAAGAATCACTAGAATTTTAAAATTGAAAGATGCAAATTCTAAGCAGTAGAAATACTAAGAATTATATTTTAATCCTTACTAAAGATACTCAGAAAAGCTTTAGCAGTTGCTAGTCTTTCAAAGTTAGATGTGATAATTATAGAAGTTTTTCACTCTGAGTAAATCTTTTAAATATTTGTGAAGATACAACTTCAGATGAATAACTTTGAGATTTAATATATAAAGCAAATTTTTGGATTGAAGCAAGAAAAGAAAAATACATCAATAAGCGAATTATGATATGAGTATCTGATAATTATGACAGATTAAGATCATAATAAAAGTTATATAAAAGAATTGATAATTAATTTCTTTGATTATTTCTTTTCCTTCTTGTTAAAAGTTCTAAGTTTTTTATGAGAATTATTACACTAATTGTAAAGGTATGAAATTCTTAAATTACGCTAATAAATAAAATAATCAAGAGATTCAATTAAAATATATCAAATTTATTAGTATATAAAGGCAATAAAGAGATATTATTTTTTACCTCACCTGAATATAAAAATTAGAAGAAAATGATTTCTAATGCTAAAAATTAGAAGATCAAATATTACAAAGTAATTTCTTTATAGATAATTTTGACAACAATTAATTTTAATAACTAATACCATTGTAATATTATTCTGTTTCCAGAGTCTTGAAACTTCTAATATCTAAGAAGCTAATGATTATTTTAGAAGTCTAAAGCATTATAAAAAAAAACTTTTGAGCTTTTTAAGAAAATAAACAGGACTTTATCGATTTAGTCTTTAATAAAGAAAGCTGATAATCACAAGAAAATGGTTAAATAATTATGAAGTTTTCTTATTCTAATCAGAATATAACATTTTTAATGAAAATTTCACATTCTAAAAAATTTATATTCTTTCAACCTAATATTTTGAGAAAGAAATTACAATAAAGAATTATATAAATAAAGAGTTAGTTTTTTTCAAGTCAAGCTGATAAATGAACGATTGATTCTAAAAGGTTTTCAATAGATTAAAACCTAAGCTAGAGAAAAGTTTTGTACTTATGCTTTAAGAAAAAGTATAAGAACGAAATTAAAGTTTTTTTATTCAGAGCTATTTTAGAATAAGCAATATATTACTATAGTGATAAAAGTTTTTAAGATACAATTATCACAATAGCTCATAATTTTGTTAGTTCAAATAATAACATCCTTCATAGCATAGGTCAATTTAGTACAAAGGCTTAAGAAAGAAAGAATGCAACCAGTACTTGTTATATCAGCATTTTCATACCTGCATTAACTTAAAAAATATTTTATCTTCATTACTAATGAATTGTAATAATGACAGTCAGCTTGTAAAATCAGAATGGTATTTATCAATTCTGCCAATGATTCTTATTAATGGATTAGAACTTATGAGTTTATTTAAAACAAGCATATTAAGTATTTTGTAAGATGTATAATAATAATCTTAATTTATCTTATAATTATTAAGTTAGAGTTCATTTATTCTAAATTACAATCCTTGCAGAATTGTTAATAATTTAAAATGATCAATTAACATTAAAATACCAATTCTAATGCATCTCTAGTTTTATAAATTCTAAATAATATTATTAATAATCAGAATTCTTTAACAGACTTTAAATTCTTCAAATAAAATTATATTTCATATAATTTATAGGTAAAGTTGAGCATGTAAGCAATGACAGATATAAGATTAATAGTAAGATCTATCAATGCATTCGTCTAAATTACTAAATTATCAATTTATGTATAAATTTAATATTTAAATGAAATGCTTGTGAAAAATAATTCAAGATAAGCATAACTATCAAAATGTCAAATATAATATATTTTGATAATAAGGGTCATATGGAATTTGATACAAAAATACCAATTTTTGAAATTTACAAATCGTATTTTTTAAATAACTTTGGAATACTGAAGTAGCATTATTAGTAAAAAGTGTATATCGAATAAAATAATCTGTTTTATTTTTTTATCAATTATACTTTATGTAGTTTGAATAGAAATTATAGAAATCATGATTATTAAAAGAATTTTTTTGAAATATTTTTGTATAAATATGAAATAAGTTTTATAAATAAATGAAGAATTTTCTTATAATTATTATTTTAGAAGATTTAATTAAGAGTATTCATTTATTTTTTCTTTATTGATAATATAAAATTGGATTAGGATTTGGAACTTAAAGGATTTTTAATTTCTATAAAGATTACTTTTTTTCAGCATCACGTGTCTATTTAATGACCATTAATTATAGTATCTAAAGTAGTAAAATCTATTTTTTTTACAGTTTTTTAGTGAATTTTTATATAGAATAATTCAATTTATTTTTTTTCTTTTTGCAAATTTTGTTGTAACTTTTTGTAACTTTTTTTTGACATTTTCATAATTTTTAATAAAAGAATTAATTAATTCTTTTTTTATATTTTGAATATTTAATTATGATATGAAATGAAAGTCATTCTAGATATAACTTTTCTAAATATATTATAGTTTAAAAAAATAACTCAGAAGATAAAGACTAACAATACTTGAGTAAAGTATATAATGGAATTTTAAAAGAAAAGACAACCTTATAATAAATAGAAAGATAAGTTAAAAAATATATGTTAAATTGTATGCATTTTTGAAACAAATATGATGAAGAGGGAGAAGAAATTTTAAGAGATTGTATTAGTAATGAAGAAAAGAATAAATTACCTATAAATAAACATATAAATTTAAATAGTTTAAAGTTTTTTATATTTCTTTTTAAAAGAAAATAATTAATTATTAATTTATTATTTACAGATAATAATAATACTGCTTCTATAATAAGTTTTTTTACAAATTCTACAAGTTCTATAAGTCAGTCTTCTGAATCTAATAAAAAATAAGCTAAAAAACTTAAGCAATTACTGTTACCTAAATATGCTATGCAAAATATTACTAAAACTAAAATTCCTATATTTAATGATCTTTTAGTTAAAATGATAGTGACTAATGGTTAGACTTTTCAATGGGTTAATAATCCTTCTACTCAAGCTTTTTTTTTATTAGTTAAACTCAAATTTAAAATTATCAGATTGAAAATAACTATCTAGTCTTATATTAGATCAAGCTGTCAAAAATATTAATAAGTTATAACATGATAAACTTAATCAAGTATACAAGCAGGCTGGTATTATACTTATATTTGATGAATAGAAGAATATTATAAATCAAGAATTATTTAGAGTTATAATAATATTACCTTTTAGTGAAACTTTAGTATAGAAAGCAATAGATATAAGTAGACAAAAGAGTGCACAATTGATGTTATTCTACATGTTAAAGAAATGTTACAAGAATTAAAGCAACAATTAATAAAAGTAGCTGCAGTTGTAAGTGATAGTGCTATGGCATATGCTTTAGCATGGTAAGTTATTTTACTTTTAAAATGTATTAAAATAAAAAATAAAAAATAAATAAAATAATAATTCTTTTTAATTTATTATATTTTTATATAGATGATAACTTTATTTTAAATATCCTGAATATATTTTTTTATCGTGTTTTACCTATCAATGCAATTTAACTGTTTTAAGAAGTCTAATATTTTAGCAAAAGTATTTATTGATGCTGTTAAACTATATCTCTATTTTACAAATTCTCAAAATGCATATTTTATTAAAATATTAAAAGATATTCAAACAGAACTCCTCGAAGAAATAGATTAAAGGATATATTATATTTATTTTTATAAATATAAAATATATTTATTAACTATTATTAATTTATTTAGTATAAAAAGGTTAAGCTATGGCTCAACTTCGTATTAATATTAATTGAACTAAAAATGAAAAGAAATGAAAATACAATTTTAAAAAATCACAAATTAATATACATTACCAATTATAGAATCAAATAATCAACAAATTGAAGATACAATTGATATAACTGTTTATATAACTACAAAGCAAGATTGGGATAAAAGATTAAAAGAATGGTATGAATTATTAAATGATGAAGAAGAAACACAATCTTTGATTAATGATGATATATTATAATGATAAATCTAATAATAATTAGGGTTGGATCAGTCCTAGTAAGACTGATTATAGATCGGTTAATTAGACTAGTCCTGCGGTCCTCGGTCCATATACTGAAGACCAGTCCAGGACTGGTTATTATATTGTAATTTACATATAGTCAGACCTCTCTAAATGCATCCTCTATAAATGCATACTCTCTTTAAATGCACATAATGTTCTAGTTCCAAGCTTGGGACTTAGAGGCCAAATGCACCCTCTAAGTTCTGTACATGCAAGAAATTTTTCTGTCCTTTGATATGACAATCTGATCTCTAAATGCACGTCACGTGACTATTTTATAAAATAATAGGAACGTTGAAAATTTGATGTTTTTTTTTATTCATTAATTAGTACACATGCAGCTTTTTTTTCGGTCTTGACTCTTTAGCATCATTATAATCTTGCATGACTTGACAATCTTAAATTTCTTCAACCATTGGATCATTCGGGGGTGAGTCATGTGAAAAAAAAAATTTTTAATATTTATTTTTTAAATCAATCAATGTAACTAATAACTAAAATCACTTACCTTTTGTAGCTACCGAATTCTTCAAGCATTGATCGTTTGAAGGTAAGTCCTATGATATTTTTTATATTTTTATATTTTTTTATTTTTAATCAATCAAACAAACAATTAAATTACTTACCTTCTTATAACTACCGGATTCTCAAGTATTGAATCGTTCGAAGGTGAGTGCTATGAAAAAATATTTTAATATTTTTTTATTTTTTAATCAATCAAAAATCTAACATTAAATTACTTACCTTCTTGTAGCTACCGGATTCTCAAGCATTGGATCATTCGAAGTTGAGTGCTATAAAAAAAATATTTTAATATTTTTTTTATTTTTTTTTTTAATCAATTAATAAAACTAACATTAAATTACTTACCTTCTTATATCTACTGGATTCTCAAGCATTAAATTATTCGAAGATGAATGATTATATTATAAAAATTTGTTAAAATGTATATTTTCCATTAATATACACCCTCTCTAAATGCACTCTTTTACTTGGTCCCAAAGGGATGCATTTAAAGAGGTCTAACTGTATATAGTATGATGATCTGTGATACATAAAATTTTTATTTATGTAACAATCACAGATTTTACTTTTAACATTAACTTTAATTGTTTAGCAGCGGCAAAATGGAAAATCAAGGTTAAATTTTTTTTTTTTTAAAAAATAATTCTCACGCTTTCTTTTTTTCTTACACATTATTTTATTTTATTAAAGATGATAATGCTACAATTATTCAAGATGAAGAAGATTTTCAGGAAGATGATGAAATAAGAGATGATGATACCGATTCTGATATTCAAGAGAAATTAATAATATCGCGATCTATTAGGTCAAAACAAAAAGGAATTTCTAAATCAACTGTATGTGAGCATTTTGATCTTAACAATAATCATCCTACTTGAAGGGATGCAAAACTGTATTTTCATTATCAACAGGAACTTCTTCTTTAAGATGACACCTAAATTCTCATAAAATTGTAGTATTTAAGCAACGACAAAGAACCTTACATGATTATCGTAATGATCTACATTCTGAAAATGAACAGCAAGAGCATGACAAATATGTTATTAATTGGATTATATATGATATACAACCCTTCAGTGTTGTAGAATGTGAAGAATGGAGACAAATGATTAATAAATTTGATCCTAGATATCGATTTTATAATCAACATACAATTAAAGATCAAATATTAGCATTATTTCAAAGTAAAAGAGAGCAAGTAAAATTAGTAACAAGTAAAATATCGGGAAAAGTAGCTTTCACTAGTGATATATGGACCGCATCTAACAATATAGCATTTCTTAGTCTTACAATTCATTATGTTGATGATTCTTGAAAATTAAAAATATTTTTACTTGATATTATTCCAATGACAGTTCGTCATAATGGAATTAATATAACAGATGCTATAATAAAAGTTTTATATGAATTTGAATTAGCAGAAAAAGCATTAGCTTTAACAACAGATAATGCAAGCTTAATAATTACTTGTGATGATTTTATAGCAGAACAACTTGAAGAAGAATTTAATAATTTAAATTTTTCTCATTATTGATATGTTGCACATATTTTAAATTTAGCAGTTGCTAAGGGAATTGATATAATTAGTAATTCAATTAAAAAAATATGTGCCTTAA